GTCTGCCTCCCTGACTGCACCTCCTCCTCCTCCTATGTCACTGTCTGTCTTCCTGACTGTAGCTGCGATGTGATTAGCCACCTCCTCCTCCTGCAGCCACATTTTCCCAAGCATATGCTGTGATATTATCAAACACGTAGAAATTTTAGACAGAAGATCCCCAGTGAGGGTCACCCCCGCAAAGGAGGAAGGAGCAGAGATAGACAAGGACTGTCAATCGGTGGTGCTTTGTTTCTCTGGAAACAGTTTATAGTTCTTAGGAAGGAATAGAGAAATCTTAATTGTTCAAAAAATACTTATATTTTAACCAGTCCAGATATTTCACAGATTTTTAAAAGATAATGAATTTCAAAAAGGTTTGGACGTGCTTTTAAAAGCCACATTTATAGTCTCCTAAATAGTTACTGAAAACCAAATATTTATTGAACAGTGTGTATGCGTGTGTGTGTGTGTGTGTATCTGGATAGCACTGAGATTCTTGCACATATGACTCCACTTTTATAGGACTCCAAATCCAGGGAAGCCTTGCTGGCAGGTAAGGCTCATGTGTAGTAGGGATCGCCACAGGTGAGTAGGTCAGGCGGGTCCTTCCCAAGAAAGCAGATCTCCCCAGCCTGGCAGCTCCACTCACAGTGAGTGCAATGGAGCTCTCCCAAGAGTGTGGACAAGGGATGGAGCTCAGATGGTAGAATGTTTGCCCACTGTGCTCACAAAGCCCCAGGTTCCAACCTCAGCACTGCATGATTAGCACATGGTTGTGCACGCCTGCAATCCCAGCACTTATCAGCTAGAGAAAAGAAGGCCAGAAACTCAACATCATCCTTGGTGACAATCTAGAGACCCCAGAGAAGAGGCTCTCAGTGAGGACTGACTAGATCACGTTGCCCTGTGGGTAGGTCTATAAGGAATTATCTCGACTACATTAACTGATATGAGAAGGCCTGTTCACTGTGGGGGGCATCGTTCCTTAGGCAGGGGATCCTGAACTGTGTAAAAAGGAGCAAGCGAGCCGAGCACAAGCAAGCACGCATTACTTCACTGCTCTCTGTTCTTGACTATGGGTGTAGCTGCTTCAAGATCCTGCTGCCTCAGTTTCTCTACAACGATGCCAGGCTGTAACCTCGCATTGAGAGATGAACAAACCCATTCTTCCTTAAATTGCTTCTGTCAGGGTATTTTCTGAAAACAGAACCCAGACACTTGGTTACATAGCAGGTTTGATGCTAGCCTAGGCTACATGAGAGCATATTTCAAAACAAATCTTTTGTCAGTGTGGGACAGGAAGTGCCAGTTGATGTTGGGTGTCACTTCCTGCTCCTTGCTGTGGTTCCCGAGTCTCTGTTCCTCTCTAGGTTAGTTAGAAGACAGCTGGAGAGAAAAATGATGTGTTCCGTTTCCTTCTGTGCTTGCTTTGCAGCAAAAGTTGTGTGATCCCCTTGCAGTGCAGCTGCCCCGTGGATTTCGAGTTCCATATCACTTTGCTGCGGTCTCATCCGGCCTTTACAATTGAGCCAAAGTCAGGTGAGGACGGTGTGACGTCACACACCCGGTCGTCCCAGCATCTCAGGTCAGAGGCAGGGCTTGGAATATCGGTCACTTGCCTGGTTGTTGTGGCAAAAACAGTGTAAGGAAGGAAGGGTTTGTTTGTCTCAGAATCTAAAGGGACGGTTCATCATGGCGAGGAAGGTATGGCAGCAGGAGCATGAGGCAGCTGGTCACGTGGCACCCTCAGTCGAGAAACACAGAGAGAGGAACACTGGTGCTCAACCCGCATTCTTTTCATTCAGTCCAGAATCCAAGCTCATGCAGTGGTGCTGAGCACATCCAGGACAGGTCTTCTTACCCCTGCTAGACATTTCTAGAAACATACTCACGGACACTCAGAGCCATGTTTACATGATGACTCTAAGTCCAGTCCAGATGGCAATAAACATTAGCCAGCACGATTGGGGAACACATACATACAAACATGCATACACATAAATGCATGCGACGGACACATTCGCTCTTCCAAACAGCTTGGGAGTAACTGAGCCCAACATAAGTAACTGCTTGCTTGTGTGACCTGAAGACTGGCAAGTTCAGTTTTCAGATGGATGTTATGCACTGACTCTTATCCCAGACCCACAGATCAGTGTGTCTTTGTCCCATTTTACAGATGAGAAAACAGAGCCTCAGTTAAGGTATTCAAACTGAGTTGCAGAGTTTCTCTCCATTGTGATGGAGTTCCAGTGATTCTTGGGGCCGTTCTATTATCCCAGGCTATGGGCCACAGTAGTGGCCTGTGACTAACCTCTGCTAGGTGGAGGAAGGCCCTGCCTTCTCGGTGCCTTCCCCCACAACACCAGTGTGAGAACTTACCGTCAGTTTGTCTGTAGATGACTTTTAAGCCATGCATCTGTTAACTGAGTCTTACAGAGGTTAGTTCACCCCAAATCCCACAGTCAGTGGGACCCTAAATCTTCGAAGGTTAAAGCATAAGACTCCGAGCGTGAGGCTTAGATGGCTCTATGACAATTCATGGGGAATAATCTGTATTTCTGAGATGCTGGGAGGAAATTTAAAGCTTATTATAATGCAGCTGATCTCATTTACATGTGTGGAATCTCAAAATTTTGGTCTCATAGGTCGTAACTTAGTTGGCAGAATACTTGCCTGGCATGCAAGGGGCCGTGGGCTCCACCCTCAGCCCAGCGTAACTGTAACATGCAATCCCAGCGCTTGAGTGAGAGAACCAGGGTGACCAGGCGCCCGTGGTCATCTTCAGCCACAGAAACGAAAGGCCTGGGACACAGAAGACCCTGTCTCAATTTTGTATTTTAGCCCAGGTGTGCTGATGCATGTCTTTAATCCCAGCACTCAGGAGGGAGATGAAGGTGGATCTCTGTGAGTTCCAGGTCAGCCTGGTCTACATAGGGAGCTTCAGGACAGCCAGAACCACACAGAGACCCTGCTTCCAAACAAACAAACAATTTTTGAAAATTGTTTCATGGAAGTAGAGACTAGACCAGTGGTTACCAAAAGCTGGGGCCAAGAGGTGCAGCCGGTTCCCGTTAGAGGGAGTAGAGAAACTGAGGCCAATAACAGAGTTCAAAAGGACACAGAGCGGGGCTGAAGAGAGGCCCGACAGTGAAGTGCTTGTCACACTGGGCAACCTCAGTCTCCAGCACCCACATAAAAGTCAGGCGTGAAGGTGCTTGCCTACAATCCCAGCACTAGGGATGCAGTGGCAGGAGCCCTGGCACATGCTGGCTGGATAACAGCCAACCAGTGAGCTCTGTGTTCAATGAGAGGCCCTGTCTCAAAGAGCAAGGTGGCTATGGTGGCTGTGGTGGCTGGAATCGGAATGATCCCCATAGACTCCTGTGCTTGAATGCTGGGCCACAGAGAGTGGTACTATAAGGATGTGTGACCTTGTTGGAGTGGGTGTGTCCCTGTGGAGGTGGGCAGTGAGGTCTCGTGTATTCAGGCTATGCCCCACACAGCACCCAGCTTCCTTCTCTTGCCTGTGGACCAAGATCAGCTCCTTTTCCATCACCGTGTCTGCCTGCATGCCACCATGTTGGGACATCTAAGATGATAGAGGACTGAACCCCTGAACTGTAAGCCACCCAATTAAGTGTTCTTTCTTTCTGAGAGCATCCATGGTCATGGTGTCTCTTCACAGCAAAAGAAACCCTAAATAAGACAGTATGGGATGATTTTTAGAAGTTTTCCCTGTCTGGGCCTTACTACCCTAAAAAATAATGTTTTTTTCATCTTCTTTTAGTTACTGCCCATGCCGATATTTTCTATTAGTTTATTTACATACTTTATATGTCCCTGTATATGTTTATATTACTTTATTTACATATTTAAGTACACCCTTGTTTGCTTTATATTAGTGTCACCTAGGAAACAACACAGCATTGTTTCCTGGTGGTGACTTCATTGTTCAGTGTTGTTATGTGTTCTTCATAATCCTTACATTTGATAAACTACGGCCTTCTTTATTTTCATTTTTATTTTTATTTGGGTGTGTCTATGTGTATGTATGCCACCTGTATGCAGTATTCATGGAGGTCAGAAGATGGCATTAGATCCCCTGGAGCTGCCTGATGTTGGTGCTGGAAACCAAACCCAAGCCTTCAACAAAAGCAGCAAATGCTCTCAACCACTAAGCCATCTTTGCAGCCAGGACTTTCTTGGCTTTGATCTTTCTGTTGTTGCTATTATTCGTTTCTGTTTGCCATTGTTTTGTCTTTCTGGGTAGCACAGAGCAGCCTGGACCTGGAGATGCTTCTGCGATGATCTCCCGAGTCCTGGGATATATCACCCAGCTTCCTGCCCTGTGACTTAACATTATCCCTGGTTGTGCTGAAGGTGGTGATCTGTAATTGATCCAAGAATAGTGGTCTGGGCTTTACATTTCTTATTACCTTTTCATGTATTTCTCTCATGTACTTGTGTGTGCACATGTTTGTATTGTGAGCAGAGGACAACCTTCTAGTTTGTTCTCTCCTTCAGCCATAGGGTCTGGAGGTCAAACTCAGGTTGTCAGGCTTGGCAGCACCCACCGTTACTGAGAGCCATCTCACTGCCTGCGGCACAGACACACTGTTTGCAGGGTGGCCTAGGAGTCACGATGTAGCCAAGGATGACCTTGAACTTCTGATGCTGCTGCCTCTACTCCTGAGTGTTGGCACCACTAACGCTGGTTTGTGTGGGGCTGGGGATCTTCATACCTGAAGGACAAGCATGCTACAGACCGAGGTAGACTTTTTCAAATGAGGTTAAGTATTAAGAATACCTTTCTCGTTTATAAAACACAGGGCTCCACTGCTCCTTTGTGCCACCGTGAGTTTTGGCCAAGCAGTAGCTGTCAAAACTTGGCACCTGTTCTACAACTGTCAACACTGCGCAGCCTGCCACCTCTGTGTTCAAGTGACAAAGTTGCACTAACAGAAAAACAAAGCAAAACAAAAAAAAAAAAAACAGCTCACTGTGGTTGCCTGGGCTACATCTCCACAGCGGGCTCTATGTATTGTCTAGGCGGGGAGCACTTAAAAAAATACATCTCCCCGGTCAAGGTAAGCATTAGTCCTCACCCCAGAGCTTGTCCTTGTGTTAAGAGCTGGAGTAAAGCAGTGGAATGCTCTGGACTTCAAATCCCAGATGATCTGCAGGTCCCACAGAGTGATGCTCTGACCAAGTGGTGGTCAAGGTATTAAAGTCTCTTCTGCTGGGATTTCTACCCAAATGACCTGCTGTTGGCTTGCAGACCCATTGTATCTGGTGACTCTTTCTACCTGGCCCTGGGCTTAAGATGCAGTAGTGGCCACCACTTAACAATTTTGACCTCCATCTGTGCTCAGGAAATTAACAAATGCCTACATTCTGTGTGTGCACGTGTGTGTGTGTGTGTGTGTTGCATGCATGCATTTGCTCTGTGAGTGTACACATGCACACACACATTGAAATGGCTACCTTAAGGGTCTCTTGCTGTCTCTGCTAGGCTGTCCTGTGGGCTCCAGGCATCCACCTGTCTCCACCCCTCCCAATGCTGGGGTTACAGATGAGTTTGCTTTGTCAGGCTTTCTGTGGGTGCTGGGGACCCCAGCTCAGATCTTACGCTTGCATAGCACGCACTTTGCTCACCGAGCCACCTCTCCAGTCTTCCATATTATTTATGTGCTATAATGGCTTGTGACGGTGTCTTCACACATGTATGTAATGCATTTTGGTCACATTCACCCCACTAGACTCCTTTGTCCCCTTAACTTTCCCATTGATCTTGCTCTTCCCAGCTACTTCCATGTCTGTGTATCCCAATGCGTTTCACAAGGGTTCTTGCAGGAGCATGGACACCTTGCCAGGGACTACACCACTGGGAAGAATGTCTCTCCCTCTCTCAGAAACTATTAATTGACTATAGGAAGCATTCGAGTAGATAAAATAGCTGTGACCTGGTGTCTGTCTTGGGAGTTTGCAATTTCCCTGGAAGGTAACAAACATTCAGGTAGGACCCACACAACCTGTCAGATCCCCTTGCAAGGATTCTGGCATAATGATGGGTCAGTGATGGGCAGAACCAAACCTTGGCCAGGACAACTTAGCTATGCACACACCTCTGGCCTTCTGTTTAAAACTGAACCTCATGTGAGGACCCCATGGGTGGACTTAGGAGTCATTGGACCTCTTGATTCTCCTTCCCAATGTAGCTACACTGGCTGAGTCTCTTCCTTCTGTTTTTCACTACTAGCTTGTCTCTTTAATGACTTATTGAGGATGAGTGGTACAGCCTGACTGGTTAGACTGTGAAGGCCCAGACTGTGACCCTGACAACCCCAGGACATACAGTGTTCTAATATGGCATAGTGTGCTGTTTGACAGTAGAAGCAATACCAGTTCATCCAAGAGATTTGAAAGGAGGAGCTCTGGGGTGTAGTTTTGTGATAGAGCACTTGCCAAGCCTGGATAAGGCCCTGGGCTCCAGCCCCAACACTACAGAAAGGAAGGGAGGAAGGGAGGAAAGAATAAAGTTACAGAAAAACACAGGGAACTGAACAATCTGGACCAAAACCCCTAGGTATGTGTTCCTAGTTTTTCATGTTGCTTACAGCATTGGCATTGCATGCTGCTCACTTGCTTTAGGGTCAATATTCTGGGAATTTACATTTGAGTCACTAATGCAGATGGATTTGACCATATTTGTGTAACTACACAATCAGATAATTGTTGGAAAGGATTTGTGTCGTCACTGATAAATAAGGTCTGTGTCAATACTCAGAAGTTGAGTTGTGTGCACTTAATGAAGAGCTTGTGGAGCGCGCAGAGGCACACCTATGCTGTGCTGGGAAGATGGGGCTGGTGTTGCCTCTTCAGCCTTACTTGGGGAGCACAGCGGATGCCTCCGTGATGGTTAATCTTGCCTGGCTATGCTGGCGGGAAGGACTTCTGGGCAGGGCATGCGTGGGTCCGTCAAAGTGGGCAGCCCCATTCCATGGGCTGGGGTCCCAGGCAGAATAAAAAGGAGAAAGTGAGCTGAGTAAAACGCTCATCTCTCTGCTTCCTGATTGTGGGGGCCATGTGACCAGCTGCCTCATGCTCCTGCCACCGTGCCTTTCCATCATGACGAACTGTGCCCTCAAACGCTGAGTCAAAATCAACCCCTCCTATAGAGGTTTACTTTGGGGCTAAGCCCATTAAACCTCTCAGGGTCCAGAAAGATCACTATGGCAGCTGAAAACCTGGCTAATGGGATCTGAGGATAAAATGAAATAAATCAACTCTCATGTGTTACGGCTGCATGTTCTTTATCCCTGGGAACGAAGAAGGGAAGCAGCTGCATAAGGGGTAATCTCCACACCGCTTTCTGTCTATGTGGGCATAAGGACAAGTCAGCAATCCCATAAGTGCTAACAGAAGTATCAAGTGTGCTTTTTACAGAGTCACAAAAGCTGGTGGGTCTCGCAAGAGGGGGCGTGGCTGTGGAAGCTCCCTGGTAGCTGGGAACACCATGTTGTAGCTATATCAACCTGCAGACTTGATTTGATTAGTGGCTAGCTGGTTGAGTTAAAGGGAATCTCTTCTGGGGAGCTTGCTTGCTTTTGACTCCAGTAGGGTACCTAGGTGAGAATTTTTCTCCCTGAAGATAGTTTTAGTGACTCAGGCCTTTTTCCTGTATAGACAGTTAATTCCCTGGGCTGCGATCTTATGTTAGTTGAAACCGAGGTGAGAGGTAAACACAGAATATTAGTAGCGGTGAGAGCAGGGGGCCAGTAGATCACACCTTCCAGAGTCTGCTGTTAGAGCAGACGTATTGCCTCCTGTATGGAGCTCCTTTCTTACCAGTGAGTGCTGTCAATAGAGTCTGTGGGGGAGCAGAGTTTGGCTGTGAGAACAAAGGTTTGACTGGGGGAATCCTTTTCACACCATGGTTTTATGTTGTGGGCAGGGGTAGGGGGTGAGGAGTAGTGGGGTATCCGGATGCCCTTACAGGAAAAGTCAGGTTTATACTGCTGGGAGAAATGCCATGATTTCACAAGATTTCTACAGAATTGACAGTGACTTATCCAAAAGACAGGTGTCCCCGTAGTTCTGCAGAACGGGTTTCTCCAAGTGGACATGTATGTATATACTTCCTGTGGACTGGTCCCACAGATCTCAGCTGCACATTTACTGTGTAATTCTTGTGGGCACTCTGCACCCTCCTGCCCTAAACTGCGTTTGTCGGGTACTTTGTTAGCAATAAGTGTAGTGAGGGGCTGTGGGCAGGCCTGCTTTTCGCCTCACCCAGCTC